TGTTGTTTTGGTTTGTTTGTTTTTTAAAGAAAACTGCAAGCACAGGTAAGACATGACAGAAAGCAGATAAACCCCAGTCTTCCAATAACCTTACAGAAGTGGTGTTACCTCTCCTAACCATTTTTTCATTCTTGTGCTGTTTGGCAGATACTGGAACCCATCCAGTTTAAAACGTAACTAACAGTGTGAGGAATTTTTTTTTAACTGATTTGATTCCTTTATCCAGCTTACCATGCAGCCACAAACACATACCAGCATACAGAAAGGAGCTAGATGGAGGCAGAACTGCCTCTTGTCAACCACAATGAAGAGTGACTTGACTGTGAGACTACACAGAAGACCTAGGACTCCTAAAGGAAGGGCAAGTGATTGTATTAATTAAAAAAAAAAAAAAAAAAAAAAATTAAAAATCTATTTATTGTTCCCAAGAGTCTGAAAAAGGAAATTCACTAAGTCATGAAAACTGATACTGCACACTCAGTGAACTGGGATCTAAGCAGAGAACAAAAGACATTTCTGCTTCTATGACTTGGCAAACAGCAGAGCAGCAATATCTTTTTAAAGCAAAGATTATATTATCTGTATTTCATCTGTCTGTTACAGATATTCTGACTTCACCTGGGTATTCTTCCTGTCCAATTTTTTTTGAGTATACACCACTTCTGAGACTTCTTATAAAATTTTAAATAAAGGAACAGAAGCTAGATGCATTTCAGAAGCTGCTGATTTTCTTGAACAACTGAGTATCTTCTATGCTTAGATATATAAAAAAGAGTACAATTCAGGTAAGACAGAGGAAATGCTAATTTTGACTGAAGATAAGTAGTAGTACCTTCAAAAAGGAAAGAGTAGTACATCTTTTTACTCTGTCATGTCATAACTAGCCCGTAAGATGCACAACTGTGAAGGCTTACAGTCAGCAGACTGAAGAAAAAGTCATCCAAAATAATTTGAAAAAAAACAGAAACTGCAATGGGTTTGCTTCAAGGTGAACTTCCTCAGCCTCATCTCAAGTCAAGTAAAGCTCATACACAAAATTACTGGAACAAGCCAACTCAGATGCTCCAATAATCATGCATTTCTACAGTGATATGAATTCACTTTGTAAGTATAAAACAAGGTTTGTTTAGCAACATATCAAACTCCAGCATATAGTACTATTTTTACCATTGGGTGGGGATCTAAGCCATCCAGCATTCGTCTGACATTGTTCACAATCTCTCTGGTATCATAGTTTGGAAGTTTGCAAGCCCATCCAGTACCAATTCCTTCAGCTCCATTTACTAGAACCATGGGAATGATGGGAATGTACCACTCAGGCTCTACACGTTGGTTGTCATCATAAAGGAATTTCAGCAAGTTGTCATCCACTGATGGAAAAAGCAGCCTTGCTAAAGGGCTTTAAAAAAGAAAAAGAAGAAAACTGTTAAACTCAAGTACATTATGCTCTAGCAGTCCAGGGGTCCAGACATCTCTTTGTAGATTTTATTCAGGTTTTCCTTTCTCTTTACCATTCTGAAGCTGAAAAGAGAATGCACACAGCTCCTGCGAAAAGGAATTTCTTCCCAAGGGAAGAGTGTGTTCATAACAGATGCTGTTTGTTTCCTTCACAGTAACATATGTACATGATACACTAGTGATTGATGACATTTAACACCTACAAACACTCTCAGAACACAGAGTTCAATGTATCTGTAGGTCACCCAGTAATAAAACAACACAGCGTGCAAACAGTTGCAAAACTTAGTTGCTTAATTGTAGGTCTAGCAGTCCCTCAAAGTGCTCCAGAGGTTCCACTGGTGACTCCTTTTGCTCCTCTAGAACATGACCCTGGGCGAACATGATTTCCAGCACCTCATGTGAAGAGGAAAAATGTACAAGACTAAACTGCTGCAAAAAGGACATACTAAGTGAAATGCTGGGGTCTGAACCCCGAGCCCTGAATTAAGGTTGACATATGGGTGATTCCCACAGCCCTTCATACAGAGGAGGTGAGTTTGCCTTATAGCTTCCCCCCAGGGTGCGGCCGGCCCTGCAGGGAGAGCCATAAGGGAAATGAGCCCCAGGGGTCCTGCACTGAGTTGACAAAGGTCAGGTGTCTGCTTGGGGATAAAAGCTGGGACCACTGGCAGGGAGTCAGGAGTGTCTGTCTGTGGAGTGCACTCCACAGAGCTTCCTGGTTCAGGGAAGACCTCCTGACTCTCCCTGGAACTGGGCCCTGGTCTGTCAAGACCTTTGTTAACACGGGCCGATCAGGTGAGAGTCACTATGTGGGCACCTTTCTCTTATGTGTTCAGCTGGCCGGTCTGGCTGTTTCCCATGCCAGCTGTGGGCAACCTCATGTCTCTGTTCGTACCACCTGTTGTGGGCCGAGTTATGTCCTTTGTGAGATTGTTGGGGGTAGTGTCAATTATGTACCAGCTGATTGATCTGTACCAGCGATCATTCATGGAATGTCCTTCTTGTCTACAATACAGTCTGTGTATTGGTTCATCTTCCTGCTGGTGGTATCATTTTTGTTGGGCCTGGTCTTTGGCAAAACACTAAGAAAGGCAATAAAACCTGATACATATAAAGCTTGCAATTAGAGGAAAGGAAGAAACTACAAGAAATTTTAGGTGAAACATCACACTGAAATTAGGAAATAAAAGAAGCAGCATAACTTATAAAATATTATAATTTATGTTATGAAACATTCTAAAACTCTGCATGTCAAATTGACTACTTATAGTTGTGAAAAATCAGCACCATTAAATTAGGTCTTCACTATTAATTATGTAGGTTTAATTTAGCTTGATATGAAGAAAATCATCTGAAAGGGAAATAACACATCTCAGCTTTCAAACCTACACTGAGCTGTAGGACTTACTGCCAGGTAGCAATATACTTTCTATTGTGAAACTCAACAGATTTCACACTGAACAGGGAAACAGAAAGCTACTTCTGCAAGAAGTCATCATTTCAGATCAGCAGCTAAACCAATTGATCTACATCTTCAGTCTTCAGCCTCCTGATTCAAAGTTTAATACCTTACAAGCTACGATTCCCACAGCACTTCTATGTGTGGAAAATCATGCAAAAAAAATCCATGTGCAAAATCACATTTATAGACGTAAAGGAAAGTTTGAGCTTCATCAAAATATTCCAATCCTCCCCTTGTTCCTCTCCCACCAAAATCACCTGTATTTTTGTGAAAGGATTAGTTCATAACCGGGCTTTCTAAAAGCATGTGTTTAGCTTCACATTTGTGTTTACCTTAACATGGTGAAAATATAGCGAGGGCTGGCAGCATCCTTTCCACCATGAAGCCTGGTGCCAAACTGACCAATAGGTTGTAGCAGATTAACATTGTTACTTCCAACAAAGTTCTGAGCCAAGTTGACAATAGTCATCATTAATGCTTGCTGCAAGAAAACATATATTTATAGTAATAAGTATAAGAAGACATGGCCTTTCCTGATCAGCCAATAAAATATATTTTTAATGCTCCAAAATTGTGTGAATAAATTGAATTCAATTTCAAAAAAGTAGGCTCTCTGAGAAAGGAATGTTTTAAATTTATGACAAAACCTGCTTGCCAAACATAATGTTTCCTCTTTCAGTCACACTGCCTCCCTGATTTAAATGTCCTTACATTCTATGCTTACAAAAACCCTTGGCTTCCTGATTTTTTTCTAAAGCACTTCTGTGGAGGAACAGAAGGGGCACAAACTCACTGCATGTACAACTGCACAAGCTACTACTCATTGCTTTTAAAGGGAGAGAGGAAGGGATAGAGAGAGACAATATGGCAACTCTTGCTAATATTTCATATAAATATAAACAAATCAGGAGATAGAAATAATCTTTGTTCCCATTGCATCAGGTTTTCAAAGAATAGTATCTCTTCTTCTACCTTAAAAGCCTGTATTTCTGGTTTAAGACAAAAAAAAATGACATAGTTCTTATATTCCTACAATTTGAAGATCTAGAAATTACCCAAGTACTTAGATATCTACTGTTTTCCCACAACCCACAAATCTTTGTGCCCACAGGCTTGGAAAGAATGGAAATATGTTACATGCTGTTTGGTTTGGGTTTTTTAAATGTAAATCTGTGATTAGTAGGCTTACAGTCAATAGGTTTGCAATTTTAATATAGTAAATGCTTACCTAATATTTCATATGGGCTAAAAATCCTTACAACTTTACTGTCCTTCATACTCACCTCCCCATGGTGATAAGCTGACATTTCAGCAACAGAGCCAGCCAGCTGAGCAACCTTCACTTCACGTTTATCATTTCTCTTAAAGCAAGTAAATAAAACTTTGCGTTGCCCTGGTTTTAAACCTATTAAGAAGAATATCCCATTTTCAACACATACACAAGCATATGTTTTTAAGTAATAAATTTGTTTTGCCTTATAATCATTTCTAATCTCTCAAAAGGGGCCTAAACATCAAATGCAAACAAATTCACAGTGTAATATTAAAATAGCAAGTCACAAAATCAGTTCTTTTAAAATAAAAAAAAATTATTTTACCAAACTGAAAATGTTAACAGAAAAGTGGAAAAGCAACCCTTTCAGCCAACCATTACTATGCAGCATACAATGCATCATTTTAATAAACAGCAACCTTATCCTAAATGTACATCTTCCCCAAGTCACGAGCTGTTTCTTGTCAGTTACTCAGCAAAATATTTTTCTTAAGAATATCAACACAAATTCATCAGTGACAACTGTAACTGTAGCTTACATGTGTTTTAAAACACTCTGAAATTTTACGTTTTGTCTGAAATTCTCAGACTCATTAAAATTCAACAGAAAGAGATGTTACTTGTTTCCCTTTTAGATCTTTAAGTTTTAAGAAAGAAGCCATTCTCTTTGACCTTCTGATTTATTCTTCTTGTTTAGGCACACTTTAAGTACAACATCTGTGTGGAAGAGCTTGTGTCATTTTTTCTGCATGTTACCTAGAACTGATAACCAGTTCAAGATCCCACTTACTGATCTATCCAGTGTTTTACTTCATATACATTTCTGAAATGCACTAAAATATTGCTGCATGTTACCATTACTAACCTGAGTCAAACATAAGAGCAAAAATTACAGTTATCTAATGGAAGTTCATTCTTTAAGATTCAGCAAAATCATTCTGCTGTCTCTGGGAAAGCAGTCAGGGTAGAGTATCTTATAAGGAACAATGATCTCTTGAAACATGCAGCTCTATAATGCATCTTCCACCAGAGCAGCAAACTATGAAAAGCTTGCACAGAGACTACTAATTAATCCAAGTACCCAACTATGGGAGAAAGCAAGTGTGGAGAAGCTGAAACAGACTGACATGCTTCAATTCCATAGAGCTATATCTACATACATAATTCAGCCTTGTTCTGCAGCAGAGCTGGAGATCTATCCTACCAGGAAGCTGCTACCCCTATCCACCTGTGACCTACCTAACTCTGTCATCTAAAACAGAAAAAGCTCTTGCTGCCTTAATATTTTGGTATGGGTCTGTAGAGTCAAGAAGACTAACTACCTCTACTATAAAAACGTTATCCGAAAGTGAAGATAAACGTGTCCCCATCCCACCCTCACCCTGAAACATCAAGGCTTTTCTTCCTGCATCTTAGCGAGCATACGCACACTGACAACGATACTGGCAGAAATTCCTGCTCATCCTGTCTGCAGACAGTTTTACAAATGAAGCTGTAGTGTAGTAAATGGCTTCTTTTAATGTTTGTGCTACTGCAAGGGGAGAGTTAGCAAACCTGACTGACAGAACCCTAGCAAGATTACAGGAAAAGTCAGCAGCCACTAAAACACTGCCTGTGGTATGTGACTGAAGGGAGAAAACATTTGCATCTTCATCTGCACTCAGCTGCTGACTTGAATTTTAATTATTATGAGCAGTTAAAAGACTTGTTTTCTGATGGCTTGACTAGGAACAAAGCCCTTGCATAGTCCAGGGAATAGCACTGGCTAAGGAAAAAGGCTGCACAGCAACAGCTTAAACTACCCCACAGAAGAAACACAGCAATTCCTTAGCATATGAATGATAACAAACGAAAATATACTTGCATGCAATGATTTCCAATACAAATCATAGGCTTAAAACCCAGTAATAAAGAGAAGCATTCCAACAAATCATAATGAATTATCAGCTTACCATCAACAAGGGAAGGAATAGATCTCTCGTTGTCTGAATTTGAGAAAAGGATCAACTCCTTGTTAATGAAGTCATTGTAAGTCAAATGTTTTGTTGCTGTACCATATAAAAATTGCTGAAAAAAACCCACATACATTATTCATTCAATACCAAAACTACATTACACTTCAGCCTCAGCCACTGGATTTACTACAGCTGTTTAGGACTCACCTCAGGAAGGCCATGTAGCCGACGCTGCCGCCTGTCCTCCATGAAGTTTGTTAGCCATTCTTTTCGGTCATCGATCTTCTTCTTACTGAAGGCCTGAAAAGATTCCAAGTACACTGAATTATCAGCATATATATGTTTATAGAAATGTATGCTACTGTAGTCAGAGTTTTAAGTGTACTGCACTATTGGATCAAGTATTCAATAATACATATTTGGACAAGATAATCCATATAACTGATGTTTATGATTAAGCAGCAGTACAAGCATATGACCTTTTGGACACTGTGACACAAATCTTTTTTGAACTGACATCTCTCACTTATTGTAACTTAAATTTTTATTACTTTCTCAAAATCTCTACAAATTTAAACAAACCTTATCATTCTTACTCTTCTCCTTACATCAGAGTTGTCCTTTGATACACAAGTTTAAAGGTGTTGGGATCTTCCCCAAATAATTTTAACATTGGGTTCAAGATTTAGACTGAACTATAAGCAGCTGTCATCAAGAAAATTAACTGAAGATACTAGAAAAATTACCCCACTCTTCTTGTCCTCTCTATGCCCTGTTTGCTCCGTCAGCCACAGAATGCCAATAATTTGTAACTGTTCCTCAGTGGCTGGCCCTAGACCTCTTCAGAAAACTGACAACTTGACAAAACTATTGCTTCATGAAAAGGCTAAGCAAGAGTTTAGGACAGCTGACTGAGGGCCTTAGTCTTCATGATGACAAGGAGTCACTTTAAAGCAACAACTTAATACTACAAGAAGACAACAGACAGTTCTGAAAGACTTTGCCCTATTCTAGAAGGAGAGTTCCCCTCCAGTCAGTTTGTTTTCCAGAAGACTCGAGAGAGGAATACACAAAAAGTAAATATGTAGTCTAAGCAAAATTTCAACTACTTTGGGTAAAATTTGTGAGTTGTTGAACTACTGCCTTTTTTTCCTCAGGGAATAAACTTGTAAAGGCTCTATCATGTCTTGATTTCAAACACTCTCCTGAATAAGAAGACAGTCATCAGCACTACTGGAGCACTCCAAAAGAGTTCAGTGAGTAGTTTTATTTCCTTGGAGACTATGGTCTCACCTAATGAGCAGTAAACCTTAGTAAATTACTCTCTGAGGAAGGGACCAAGTGATATCACCCTGTTTTGCACCAGACTGACTTCCTTTGTGTACAAAGCTTGACAATTCACAATGTCAGACATCTGAAGTCTTAAGATTAGACTTTAATAAAAACATGACTGAATTCTTACAATTTTCTTCCAGCTCTTTTCAGTGTATTGATACTTTTTTCTAAACCATGGAATTGACAAAATGACCAAGAGTTGGATCAGCATTAATATTATTTTAAGCAAATGAAAATAGAATTAACAGAATTAGAAGTCTGAGTAAAAATTATTCTCCGATACTTATTCTTGAATAATTTTTTTTTCTTTGTCCACTTAGAATTGCTATTCTAAGACTTCATTTGATAGTAAAAGTGTTCTTCAGACTGTTGAAGAATTTGCAATGTGAAATATTTTTTGTTTTCCTGGACTATAACTATCATGAGGCTTGGCAGGGCCTATAATCCTACAGCAGCTGTGGCCAGAAGTAAACTTGGGGCTGGGATTACAGCTATTAGCAGAGGAAACGTGGGCAGAAGTGAAGCTTCTGTTAACTGCTTTGGTACTAGTCAGTAGTTTTTCCTGGTGCAACAGAGATGACTGGCTTCATCCCAAATGGACAGAATACCACTTTAGACAGTGAGGATTAGCCCTAACAGGTTATATGGACTCAGTTTACAGATGAAGATCTGTTTGCAGAAAGAGCTCAGAATTTTAATCAGGGAGTTCAGAGTCTCTCTATCAATTGGTTTAACATCTATACAGGTACACAGACTCCTCTTCCATCTAGATGAACACACTTCTCTGGGATGGGGAACCACATACACAGAACGTATTTAGGTGCATCTTGGGCAGAACTGATATGAGTGGTACAAAGAACTTTTGATGTGTCAGGCTAGTTTTCTTCAACAAAACAGATACCTACTGTACCATTCTGTCAATAAAAACCATATAATTTTACTATCTTTCTATTTTTCTATACTATTTTTCCTATCCACAGAATAAGAAAAAAGCTGTTTTGTCCAAGATGGGTGTTTTCCAATTTGTACTTTTTCTCCCCTCCTACCCCTTTTTCTAATGTCACTTACAATTAAAATAGCAAATTAAAATAGATAAAAGTTGAAATATGCTATGAGAAAGCAGCTTTGTTCCAGACACTCCCTCCTTTGTCCTTTCACAAGCTCTCTTTGAAACACAAGCACTCTCCCACACACAACTATCTAAAAGATTTCACATGCAAATATGTGGAATGCAGGCATGAATACACATATGCCACACTGATAGATCTTCAATGAATAAGTAATATTTAGCTGAACTTATTTCCTCAGAAACAAAATTCAGATCTCTAACTGTGAAATATCATTTGTTTGGGCTCTGTTGCCTTACTCAGTACACTCTTCTGTGTGTTCTGTCTTTAAAAGTAGTCTGAATGTAATGTTTTTTGATACCAACACTACACAAAATTGATCAAAGCTATGAAGCAGACGGTAGAGGTGATTCTGCAGCGTGAATAAAGCTCTTATTCTAAAACTTATTTTCCAAAAGCTTGCCTTCCAAACGTATTTTTTTCAGTTACTGGAAAAGCAAACCAACCACAAAAACCCACCCACTTACCCAACCAACCACAAAACCCCACCAAACCCCCTGCTAACAAACACTTCCTGATGTGTCATTTTCAGTAACAATGGAAACTAAAACTCAGCTGGCAAGGAATGAAGTAGCAGCAACAGTAAGTCCTGTGGCTGGGTATCAGGCTGTGGCACACACAGGGGTGCTGGAGCCAGGGAAACACGGAGAAGAGTGGACAGACCCCCCTGGAGCTCTCAACAGCGATGCTGACGCAGATGGTGGCACTGCCAGGAGCCACCACAGAAGATGTAATGGCCCTGAAGAGAGCCAGCGACCACGGCACTCTGGTGGCAGCAGGTGCAGGAGTGTCCCACAGCCTGCTTGTAGGTCCACACCCCAGGGAAGTGCTCTAGGTCTCTGCTAAATTGGTGTGCACTCGTGTCAGAGCTCAGAGGGTCAGAGTCTGGCTGGAAGCCTATAGCTAGGCAGTGTTCCCCTGGGGTCAGTACTGGGGGTCCAATGTTGTTCAACATAGTCACCAATGACCTGGATGAAGGGACAGAGTGCACCCCCAGCAAGTTTGCTGGTGATACCAAACTGGGAGGAGTGGCTGACACACCAGAAGGCTGTGCTGCCATCCAGCAAGACCTGGACAGGCTGAGAGTTGGGCAGAGGGAAATCTGATGAAGTTCAACAAGGACAAGTGCAGAGTTTTGCACCTGGTGAGGAATAACCCCACATGCCAGTACAGGCTGACAGGTTGACCTGCTAGAAAGCAGCTCCACATAGGAGGACCTGGAAATCCTGGTGGACGAGAAGTTAACCATGAGCCCGCAGTGTGTTCTTGTGGCCAAGAAGGCCAACGGAATCCTGGGGTGCATTAAGAAAAGTGTGATCAACAAGCTTATCAATATCTAAAAGGCAGTGCTCAAGAGGATGAGGCCAGTCTCTTTTCAGTGGCACCCAGCAACAGGCACAAACTGGAACACAAGAAGTTCCATCTGAACATGAGGAAAAACTTCTTTCCTGTGAAGGTGACAGGGTCCTGGAACACAGTGCCCAGAGAGGCTGTGGAGTCTCCTTCTCTGGAGACACTCAAAACCCACCTGGATGCGACCCTGTGCAAACTGATCTAGGCGAATCTGCTTTAGCAGGCAAGCTGGACTAGCTGATTTCCAGAAGGTGCCTTCCAACCCCTAACATTCCATGATTCTGCATGATATAGAAGCATTTTCATAAGGTCTTACCAGTGTAATGGCAGCATCATCTTCAGGACCAGCGTATCGAAATAAGATCCGATGTCTTTCCATGTCAGCAAAATATTCTTTTGCCTCTTTCGCAGTGCTGGTACCCAAACCTGTACAATAAAAAGAAATCATTCCTCCATATTCATAACGTAAGTTTTGGTATTTTACTCCTTTTATTTTACTGAGAATATTATAAAATCATTACAGAAGATACTATCACAAAAAACAGGTCCAAAAAAAACTTCACAGCATCTATTTATTATGTATTTTTAGACTGATGAGATTCACTTCTTTGGCTTTAAACAAACCTTTGTAGTATTTTATCTTCCATGCTTTATGATTCTCCATGTGCTTCTTCCACTCATCAAACTCAGGAATACTATAGAATGAAAGTTCTTGCTTATTTTTGCTTGCCTTTAAAAAACAAAAACAAATAGCTAATTAACTTTTCTGTTGCACTCTAAGCAATAAAACAAAATATCTCATTAATAGAACCCATACCTTCACAATAGGAGTGATGAATTCCTCAAGAAAACCATGTTTCAGCAGTGATGGCCAATTGTGATGAATAAAATTGATCAACAAGCCTTTAATGTGAGATCCATCCTGATCCTAAATCAACATGAAAACATTAGACAATCTTAGAAAACATCATATCCCCCCAAACCACCAAAACAACCACTCACTGGCCTGGATACATCAAAACAATGTCCATTGACAGAAAACATAGAAGAAAACAGTCAGTATTAAGTTGTATTCCAAACTGGACCTACATATAAGACAGCCACCTGTGAGTGGCACTATCTCTGTGCTAGTAATAAGCTCTTCCAAGAAAAGTGCACAGTTACAGCTCAAAAATTTCTTTGCCTGTGGCACGTTTTCTCTGAGAGCCAGACAGCTCTCCCATACACCATGGAGGTGAACCTGTGTGGGAGAAAGCCAAGCCTGGCCCACAGTTCTCATTGGTGTTAACATGCTTGATACTTCAACTTCTCTGGGGAAAAAAAAATCAAAGCTTCACAAATACCCAAACCATGTGATTCTTAGACTTCTACAGTCTGGACAATAGACACACACTTCATGAGATTATCCAAAAATAATGGCCTGAATTCTTGTCTCTCCCAGACTGTCTAGCATTATTACCTCATCTACTGTTCCATTTTGTACTTCAACATACTTTTAAGTTTTAATTTATATGTGGTTTTAAAGTTTTTTTTATATGTAGTTTTATTATTATTATTATGGTATCCCTGCTAACTGTGCACCAAAGTTCAGTTGTCCATTTGGAGTAATCAAAACAACATATAGACAAAATATTTCCAAAAAGGAACCTCAAACATTAAGGATTCCCTCCGAATAAATCCACATTTTCATAACACAGAGGCACAAAAGTGTAACCTACAATACTTCAGCAAAACACATTTTAAGAAGCTCTGTATATTAAAACTTGTGAATTTCAGACAAACCTGATCTGTCATGATCATAATTTTTCCATATCTCAAACTTTTCAGAGATTCTGGATCTTCATAGCTTTTCTTATATTGCAGTCCAACTATTTTGATGATGTTGTTGATTTCTGCATTTTCCATAATCTGTATAAAAAAGTTACCTCACAGTCAGTGTAAACAGCAGAAACTCATAAATATCCCAGTCTTTTTTAGTTGGGCTTTATAGTTACTTTTTGAATGCACCCCTACCTCAGCTTCATAGCCCTTTCATCCCCAGCCCCCTTGAAGCCTTCACACTTGTAAATACTTCTTCTGAACATGCAAATTCTCAAGACTGCACCACTCCCTTTCTCCTCTACAGTCAGAGTACTATGGGTCCAGAAGGCAGAGAGAAGAGTACATGTAACCAAAAGTCATCTCACAAGGCTGCCTTCTTTTTCCACTATTCCTATGGGCACCTGCAATACAACTCTTATTATAGGCAAAGTATGGAGGGGCAGCAGAAATAATGCAATTGGGTAATGCTGCTCATGCTGCCTCACACTGTCTGACAACGAAACCACATAGCAATGGAGAGAGTATGACATTTATGGGGTTTTAAGTATTCATGTAAGTAAGATGTTAATATGAGTCATAGCAGCATTTCCTTGCACTTGAGAAGAAGGGAGCTTCAGCATTCTAGTACTGTACTGCTATACTTAATATTTTCAGGCTTATCTCAGGCTTTAAAGTAGCTAGTACTTTATGAAATCCCAGACACAAGATTTTAATTAAAAAATAAAAGGTGTAACACTAGAAATCAAAAATAAACAGGAGACACCCCTTTGTCAGCTAAAAGGAGATGACCTACCTGTTTGTGAGAAGCTTCTCGAACATTGAGAATTTTACCCCTCAGTGGAAATACTCCATATCTGTCTCTACCAATAACACCTAAGCCAGAGACAGCTAAAGATTTGGCAGAGTCTCCTTCTGTTAATATTAACGTGCAGTCCAAGGAATGTTTGCCACCTGCAGTCCAGGAAGAAGAAGCAAGGTAAAAAAGCAGAAAGCAAAACTTTGAAACTCAAATAACAGAAATACAATTGCATTGGTCATGAATATTATTCCTACTCTACATCAGGTAATCTGAATAGGCAGAACTTCTAGTGGTAGGCATGGCCCCCCATAGCACTAGAACTGTGCAACAAGACTAAGTATCCTTGCCCCCAGCAACACACAATGGGGTGCTATGGACAAGTTTCTAAATGCACAAAATGGGATGCAATGGTGGATTTTCTTCAGTAATGGTCCCCACGTGTCAGATTGCAGCTAGAGAAATGGTAAAGGCACAGAAGCAAATTTCTTACACCCACCCCCCCCATGTGTGTCTGAGTAATATACAGGAGTTATTTCTGCATTCCCCCTTTCCTCACAGTGTATTGTCAGAAGTAATTTATTAAATTACATTTTGGGGGATTTCTTTTATTATTGCACATCAACTGAAGCCAGGCAACTAGAAGAAACACTTGACAGAAAATCTCAGAAGATCAGAACACTTGCACTTATACATTCTCAGAAATTTCTCCAACAGAAGAAACAAATCTTTGCTAATACTGTAATTTTGATTCTACAAGACACACTGCATTTTGGTGCTTCTGTGTCCAGTGTGCTCAAAACTGTTATGACACCTATGTTCTGTTCTTTGCAATAGTTGAATAGATGTTCTAAATAATAAGCAGGTTCAGAAAAGGAATCCAGTCTTTTCCAAGAGTGCAAATGCTCATTAAGCAGTTCTGCTATTTTATCAAGGCCAAGTTGTAGGAAAGACTGCAAAATCTTCAAGCTGGTTAAGTCTCACCTACTGTTAGCAAGGTAGTTTTGAATATATTGGCATTTAAAATAGGTGCTTTGATTTGCCTTTACCCGGTAGGTAAAAGTAACCCCCCACTTCCTACACAGAACTTAGATTCAACAGCTTTGGTCTTCTGAATCAGATACATGGATTAATGTAATCCAAATTAGGCAGCTATTCACACTGTATCAAAAGAAGGTGTCAACAGCTACAATGCTCTCAGCAAGGTGGAATCCAAATACCAAGAAAAATACTATCTTGCTGTTTTAGAATATATGGCAGCTGTATTTTTTTCCTAAATGAACTGCAGAAAACACATCTGAATATCACCTAGGTGCATCTTCTTCTGGGATGGATGTGATCATTAGCAATTTCATGGAAATGCAATGTGCCAAGTATTTTCCTGAACACAGCTCTAAAAAACTCAAAGAGAAATCTACATGAACTGGCAGATTCAGAGCATGCTTTTATGCTTCACCAGATTTAGTAATCTCATTGTTCCCTTACAATCCTATGTTCTTATTCCTATTTCTTTGTCCTTCCTTTCATTTCTACCTCTTCTTCTCTAAGAAGCCATAAAATTATGTATACTTCCCCAAGATCTCAAGACAGCATGAATGACCAGGTCTAGAACTCAGTACCTCATTCTTTTTGGTGGGGGAGGAAAGCTGCAGTGAATTCTTCACTCACAGACACATCCCTCTTACTCCTAAGTATTAACCAGTTTTCATTCAAAAATTCTGTAGAACTTGGCACCCAAGAAACCTGAGGATGTTGGACCTCAGCTACAAATTCACTCTTAAAGTAAAAATAAAATCTAAAAATCACAGGAAGAAGTAAAGCCAGCGGGGTCTTTGGCCAGACACTAGTCTCTCCCAGCTGCACTGGACAGCTTCATTCCAACAATTACTGGTACCTGCTATTAGAATCCAAAGCAAATCCTGTTCCCCCATCTGATTTGGGGTGCTTATGAAAATGTAACTCCTGGGATCCCTAGAAATATTTCTTTGTCCTGAAACACAACTATATATCAGACTACTGTATTTTGCTGCCAGATTAGAGATAACCTCTGTATTACATGCATGAATGTCCTGAAGCAATCTCCCTGAAACTCTATCTTCATACACCAGTCAAACCTTTTCTCCACTTATGAGGAGGTCTGAAATTCTTTTGAAGAGACCATTTATAAGTGTGCAAATCTTCATAATATGATTGGTCATGTGCACATGCATAGCAAACATTCACACAGCAAAGAGCTGAATTTTTCAGCCCAAGAAGTGGCCATCTCCTCTAACACATGGAAGGAGCATGTACAATCCTTACTTCACCCGACCCTGAGAACCCCCAGATCCCCAGTCCTTTCCATCAGGATCCCAAAGACAGAAAGAAAGATTGATAGTACTACAGTCATTTTTTCTGTGTACTCATAGAATTTCCATGGCAACAGTACTTCCGTTTCTCCCCATGTTAAGAAGCATCAAGCTTTTACTCAGATGCAGTCACGAACTAAAGTTCATTGAGACAAATTCTCAAGAGCAGAGCAGGCAAGCCTCCTTGGGAGATGCAGAGCTCCTGCTCCCCACAGCTAAGAGAAACTAGGCCACAGAGGAATACCTGCATAACAGGGATCCAAGCCATGCAAAACTAACCACCAGTGTTGAGCCCAAATTGACCCCTACATGCTGCCTTAGTGCGGTAGTTTCAGAGCAAAAGGCAATGAAGTATTTTATTAGCTCCTCTGTTAGAGAGTCTTCCCATCACACCCGGTGAAAAAAATAAAAAAAAAAAAAGTTATTTTAAAGCCTGATCTTCAAAGCAAGGCTAAGAAAAACCTATGAAGAAAGTGTATCCAAAATCAATCATTATGTTATTTATGAGCTCTAGGCTTGACATTCATAAAAACACAGCATTTCTCCAAGCACAGGAGACATTTCTCCATCAGGAACTTAATGGCATTTAAAGTCTCATGAAAATGTCTCTTGAACCATTCCTTCAGGTCTGCACACCATAAACTTCCTACAGCTCGTGACCCTACAAAGATTCTGATCTTTCTGTATTAGAAAGGTCAAAAAGACTAGTCACCTCCAAAACAGAATACTGGTAACATTGTTTAGCCACAATGAGAAAGTGCACACACTTTCAAATATGGACTAGACTGCTGCTTTTGTTCAGCCTCATTAGTTCTATGTCCTAGAGAGGACCATGTTCCTAATATCACACTCAACACCATGCTTTAATTCTAGCTCTAGAAAGTTTAGAAAGCTGGAAAGATTCTTTCAAATACACATCAGGATGAAAAATAAAGTTAGGTTTAAAATGATGATGTCTGTGAAAGGTCTATGAAACATTAAAGACATTAAAAATAAGTGCTCTTACCAGCATCATTAGCATCATCCAGTTTCGGAATGCCCTTGATTTTACTGTGTTTCACTGATGAACATTTTTTGTTCAGCTGAGTTTGTGCCTTAAATTTGACCCAATTCAAAATACTCTCTATGATACCACAGTTAGAGGCCTATAAGCAACAGATGAGAATTGTGGATGAGAAAAGTAAAGCTTCACACAGCAGATTATCTCTAAATTTTAAGTCACTGATCTCCCACTGTTTCTTGAAGCCCTCTAAATTGTAAAAACTGCAACATATAAAATTCCAGGAATTAACACATACCTTACTGTCTAGCATTTTAGGCACACAAAACCCAAAACAACACTCACATAGCTTCTTTTCCACTCCTTGTATCATTTGTGGCAGGAGGAAAAGAGGGCTGATATTTAATAAGAAGTTGTCTTATGCTGTATGGTTGATGTGCCAAGACATTTTAGATATTAAGCACATGCTTGTTGGACTTTGACAACAAAAAGTAACCTTACTTATGACCATTTAAAGTTTCTTCAGGAATGACTGAAAACAGCAAAAGACAACCAAAAGCATCTAAGAATACAGACCTATGTCAACCACTTGAAACTGGTAGCATTTTAAGACATACTTCTGAAGTAAAAAATAGCATATAGCATATTCTTGAAACTAGAACTGCTTTAGGTTTGTTTCACATCAAAAGAAAATACAGTGAAGCAAAACACTGAGCTTTGGCTTCTCCTTATACCCCACAGTACAGTACTCATTGGCTAGAGATTCTGCTGCATATTTAACACCTCTAAAGATGAGTGTTCACTTCTGGGAATATTAGAAACTCTGTAAATCAAACCTACTGACACGTATATTAATATCTGAAGAGTGAATACAAGATTTTGTTGTGTTATTTTTTCCTGTAAGTTCTACAAAAATGTCACCACTGTAAAACATTGCACAGTAAGTTAAGTTTTGATGCCAAGAGTATTAGCAGAGGCAGCATTCTCCTTACTACTGGACTTTCATTTATGCTACTGGTGCTAAACAGGACTTAGTACAACGAGTTCTGGCTAACATTATTCTCCTTTTCCTTTCTTGTATAAAAACCTAGTACAGGAGAAACCTCCACCATGTATTTCTGCTGAGACACTAATTTAGAGTAGTACTTCTTAGCCCATCTACAGCAAAAATTACTAACCTTATTGCCTGAGTTAATGATCACTTTAAATATTACAACCACAATTCTGCATTTCCTGGATTACTGGAAGAATAAATGTGGCATGTTCCTTCCCCGTCTCTTCACTTCAGTGAAAGAGAGTAAGATTGATACCAAAGAATAAGGCAGACACTCTCAACTTTAGAAAAATACTTTAACACAAGAAATGAGTCAAGGTCTATGTTTAGGTTTTAAGTGTCAAATTCATTTCACAAATATAAACATCAGAATCATCAACAAATGAGCTGACCAGGTGAAGCTTGCTTTAAAATACAGGGCAACAGCCAAAACACAGTCATTGCTTCCATTATTAAGGCTAGAGACTGAACAGAAGTTTCTCCATCCCATTTTCATAGTATGCTAGTGTCACTGGAGTACCATAATGTACTAATTAATCTTCTGCCACATAACATACATAAACTCAATGCAGCATGCCAATACCTGTTTCACAGAAAAGAAGAACCATGTTTTACTTACTGCTTTAAAAAATTTCTCAGATAGCTGGCACTTGGACCCAAAACTTTTAGGCTGCAATGTCATGTTTTCCTTTGTCTGGGAATCAAAGGATGGATTTTCAATCAAGCAATTAACAAAAACCCATATATGATTCTTCACCTGTTGAAAACATAGAAACAAATTTACTCAACAGAACTACCATATTCATAATTTTCAATATTTTCATATAAAGTTACTTGCCTGAAATGGTTTCACGGAAACTCCAGCTTTATTCTTCTTTTTCACCACTTCTATCAGTTTGCCCACAACCTGATCCACCACGTAATCAACATGCCTACCACCCTTAATGAGAGAAAAAAACCAACAACAAACACAAAAAACAAACATTTAATTTTCTAATAGCTTTTAGTCTTATTAACAAAGTTCCTGTAGACATACTTAAATTTGGAAATCCATGCACATTAAGCTGCAGCATAACCACAGAAAATATGTTTTTAAGTTTCTCTTTCATGTCATTCAGTCTTTGTACAAGTGAGGATGATGGATGTTACATGAAACAGAAGAAGCAGGAGACCTTTCATTCACTGTACAGTGGTGGACTTCAAATGGAGTTGCTTACAGGTTGTAACAGGATACAAAACTTTAAGAATATGGCAGATCTGTAAACTGCTCTACCACTGGGATGGTACCTGCAACTTCACCTGCTGTCAAGAGGTATCTTTTTAACAGGTACATAAAGAACCTCGGACTGAAAACATCACATATTTGTCCATCTAATTAAACTGGCTCCATTTGGTCCACAAAAAAAAAAAAAAAACAAAAAAAGTCCAAGAGCTCACCCTGAGATATACAGGATCTATGCCTATGCTACACATCTCACCTTTTCTTTGCTGTATTTAGAGAACTCTTTGAATAAATGCTGTTAGAATTCTTTGCGAGCCTGGGACTTACGTGAGGGCAAATGGAGAGCAAACTGCAGAGTCAAGAACAGAGAAAGATAATCTGAAGGAGATTAGAAGTTCTCCTTAAAACTCAAGAGGCTAAACCTGCTCCAAATTTGCCCCGATGTAGAAGAGATACCTGTAGAGTATGGAGGTAGCCACAAGCTGGCAAACTGACCCCTTCTGAGACCACAGAGCAGTAACCTGTAGCTACATAACCATGTTTCCACCTGTCTTGTAGCAAACAAGAACAGTCAGCTGCATTCCCTTACAGTCACTGCCCAAATGTGGAAGAAAAAAAACCCTCTTGTGAGCAATTTCTTACATCACCAGTGTGGAAAAAAAGAAAAAAAAAAAAAAAAAAAAAAGGGAAAGAATAAGGGAAAGAATATCAGATTTTCTTCCTCTGTTGCACCGTAACAGCTCAGAGTGAAACATTCACTGTGCCTATCAGAGTTCTTCCCTTTACCCTAGGAAAAAGGAGGACTCCAAGTACTGGCACTATTGTAAGAAAGCTTTTGGCAGAGGCAATATATTCACCTCCAAGCTACAATCAATGTTTAAATAGGGGGGTTACTATTGATGAAATTCAGTCTAAATAGGGAAGCACTAAGCATTTGAATACCTTTAGAAGGTGCCTCAAAGCTTTTATCACTTTAAATACAACTCTCTTTGGACTTAAACTTTAAACCAGCTACAAAAACCAACACAAAACATATTGCTAGAAGATAAATAATTTTGAGATTAAATTGCCTGGAAAAATAAAGGCATTTTACATAAGCTTTCTAGGGAAAAAAAAAAAAAGTCTATTATAGATTTATTACATCCAAACAATGACTACTGATTTACATGTGTAAAAGAAACCCAACAACTATGGGGTATATTCCACAATGCAGAAGTAATTTGAATCAGAAGCACTAGTAAAGACTAAAACAGGGCAAACTTATAGCATAGATAAAACATTCCAGATTAGGAAGAACAACTAGTATTTGAAGGTATGCATCCTGTAATCTTTAATTCTATGGAACAATGACTACTGAAATTGTCTAAACGAATAATGATAAAAATGTTAAAATATTTACAAGTCCAAGGAGACAAAATTTCCCTTAAAAGTAAAATAGCAGACTTTGGAAAGACGTCAAGACATGAATGGCCTTAAAGCCCTGGATATCTGAAAGCTGTTTACATTTTTGATTATTCAAATGCCTTCCTTTAAATTTATAGACAAAAAGGCACAAATAAGAACAACAAAATGTTAAATTCTAGTGGCTGTTACAGAAGTTCATAATGCTTTAACTAAAATCAATTACTTTGCAACAAGAATGCAGTAGTGCAGGCATATCATAGAATCATAGACTCCACTAGGTTGGAAGAGATCTTAAAAGATCATCAAGTCCAGCCATCAAGCC